AACAACAACAACAACAAAGAAAGTTTTATACAAGTATAATCAATTTTGAAGGATTAATAGGGATGGGAGAGAGGACCAAAAAAATACTTTGACTTAAAATGAAAATTAAAGTAGTATATTTAGAAACATATTTGAATAGCTTACCAATTCTGCTGTTAACTTGGAAGAAAAGGATCTATGTCTTCTTGTAGGAAGTTGCTCTTCCCTAACTGACATTTTCATCAGAAGGCACTATGACATGGATTACCCATGGGCCAACCACATTCCACTTCCTTCCTGTGACTCTCGTTCCCACTGGTCCTTCCAGCCTACCCTTTATAGACTTCTGAGATTTATCCTCAGGCAAATACTCCCATTTTGATCTTGTATTGGTGATTATTATTATTCTAAGGAGTGAGTATCTCCCTTATAAGGAGTGACTGTTCATCTTATAAACGTGCCTCTTGTTTGAATGTGGAGTTCTGGGGTCTTAATGGTAAGGCGTTTCACTCATAATTGAAAGGCAGGTAGTTCAAATCTACCAGCTGCCCCACAGGAGAAAGACAGACAGTCTCCTCCTGTGTCATGTATTGGTTCTGAAAGCTCACTACAGGACCAGCTATGAGTTGGTTCTGATTCAACAGAATCAGTTGGTTCTGATCCAGGCATTGTCTGAATGAAAGTTGAGTTACAAGTTGACTAAGATCCATGCTCGAAGGGTGACTAAGGTCAGAATATGGGGTTTCCACCAGGTCCTATCAGATCAGCAAATCTGATAATTTAAAACAAAATTATTTATTTATTTGAATTTTTAAAATTGGGCTAAATATGTAACAAATAATTTGCCATTTCAAAATTTGTCACAAGTATATTTTAGTCACATTAGTTGCATGTATCACGTTGTTCAACCATTATTTTCAACTTGTCCCAGAATTTCCCATCACCTTTCACAGAAATCTCTGTGTCCCCTAAACAGAGTCCCCATTGTCCCTCCATCCCATTTGCCTGGGAACCACAGTTAACTTGGTCTCTACACAGTCACCAATCTTATCACACAATGGGTTGTTTTTGTAGTTTTATGCACTACTGAATTGTAACTGAATGTAAACTGACCTTGGGGGGGGGGAAGGAGGGTTTAGAGGCAGCAAATCAAATGGAGGGGGTTGGCCGTCTTTCTCCTACTGAGCAGATGGTGGATTTGAACCATGAGCTTTTAGGTTGGCAGTGAAACTCCTTACCACAAGGCCACTAGAAAGTTCCCTATTTTAAGTTGGAGCATATACTATTTGTCCCTTAGGATTGACTTAATTCATTCAGCATAATGTTTTAAGGCTCATTTATGTTGTAGAATGTATTAAGCCTGCCAGTAAATCTATGAGGTAGCTACTATATTATCCCAATTTTACAGACTAGAAAATGGAAGCTTAGTGTAAAAAAGCAATTTTCCAGAGTCACAAAGCTAATAGATGACAAAATTAAGGGCCAGGAAATCCAGCTCCAGACCCAGGACCTCAAGCACTGTACCTTCCTGCCCGGGCAGTCATCCACTGCAGTGTACACCTTCCAACTTAGCCATCAGTGCTCAGCTCCAGGCAGGTTCCACCTCCTTACGCTGCAAAATACATCCCACTCACTGTGTCTATCCTGTCAGGAGTCATAATAATGTAGTGGATAAGTGCTCGGCTGTACATTGAAAGGCCAGCAGTTTGAACCCATGAGCCAGTCACCGGGTGAAAGAGGGGGGCAGTCTACTTTCGTGGCGATTACAGCATCAGAAACACTGTGGTGTGGTTTACTCAGTGAGAGAGCGCTGGTGGCCTGGGGGTAAGGAGCTGCCTTGCAAACCCAAAGGCACCTGGTTTGAATCCACCAGCTACTCCTTGAGAGGAAGATGGGTAATCTCCTCCTGTGCGATTTAGAGCCTTTTGAAAACCTGCTGGAGTATCTACTAGGAGTTGATTGAGACTGCATAGCACCCAACACCAGCCCCACCACCACCACCACCACAGGATTGCTAAGAGTTGTAATCCATTCGCTAACAATGACGTTTACAATATAAAGGCTTCTATGTTGCTATGAGAGTAACAGTTTTCAGCAGAGATTCTAGACTAAGACAAACTTAGAAGAAAGGCTTGCCAATCTAGCTTCCAAAATCAGTCAGCGAAAACGCTGGGGGTGGCCATGGTCAGGTCTGCACGCAATGCTGGGTTGAAGCAGGATGGGAAGGGGTTTTGTTTTTTTGTACAGGAGCCCACCATGAGTTAGTGTAGACTGAACTTGATGGCAGCCAGGAATATTTACCTCAATGCAGGATTCCCTTATGTGCAATGCACATTTATATTCAAATTCCAAATATTCTTAAAGATCCTGGTGAAATGCTTATTGTCTCTTCAAGGCCTTTTTTTCAGACTTTTCCACTCCCTGGTGGCTTGACCACCTATTTTTTTGCAGGATTGCCGCAGTTTTGCTTGGACTTTTGCACAGTACATAGAACTACCCCAAAACAAGGCATTTGCTGGGCTTGACACTGAGCCCGAGTTCTGCACTCACTGACCCAGACTCCTCCAGGACCCCAACCCCCCAAAAGGGGCACTTTTTCTTCTGGTAGTCTCATGGGTAAGGATTAAGAAACACTGTATGGATCCACTAGGTTCCTAGAGGGTGAAGCTAGTGAGGTTTACAGTCTCTGAAAATGCATTTGAAGGTAAGCGATGAGTTGGTTTCAAATCAACATCAAGGAGTTTGTGTTTTGAAGGTTTTTCTCTTCTGGGAGGGGAGGGATGTTTCATGTTAGAAAACTTAAAAATACACAAACATGGTGCCAGTGGTATACAACAAATTCCCATGTACGCATCCAGGTGTCTTTTTTCTAATTGCAACAAAAATGGTCTATTTCTCTGTGTCTTGGCAAGAAACAGATGCGTATTGAGAGAGGGAAATGAAGAAACTTTAAGAAGGAACATTTACAAAGGTGTATTAGACAGAATTAAAGGGAGCCAACAAGAAGTGGAACAGCAGGAGGGAGACTGTTACCAAGATTCCCAGGGTTTTAGCAACCCCAAAGAGAAGTTCAAGGGCACAGCAACTGCGAAACCCAGACCCATCAGGGAGCGAGTTGGAGAAATGATATCCTGTCCTCTCTCTTCCTTCTGATGAACCCAACTGGACGCTGAAGTTCAAGGAGTCCAGGGACTATCGTCTGTAGGGATTCTGCCCCTGGGCACAGGCCACAGTGGGGCAAGGTGGTGGTGATGAGAGGACCCCCAGTCATGCCAGACGCTGTGGCAGCCAGGACACACCTTGGAAACCAGGACGACAAGATTACATCTCTCATACTTCGGACAGGCTGTTAGGGTGTGATCCTTGGAGAAAGACATCATGCTTGGAAAAGTAGCTCTCACTGCTGTGAAGTTGGAAACAATGCATAGCTGACTCTCCAGTGGGTTTTTGCGAGGCTATAAATGACGGAGGAGGAGACTGTCTATCTTTCTCCTGATAGTTGTGGGAGGACTTGAACTGGCAGAGAGGGCTTTGGGTTAGCAGCCCAACTCCCCAGAGACTACAGCAGCAAAGGATTATATGATACAATATGATATGATATGATAGTAGCATTGTTGCTTATCATTGTGTACAGATCCATAGCTGAGCCTCGGGTCGGTTTTCAAAGGCAGTTAATCACACAGGAGGAGACTGCCTATCCTTGTCCTGCGGAGCAGCTGGTGGATTAGAACTGCAAGCCTTCGGAATTGCAACGCAGCTTCTTGCCACTAGGCCACCAGATCTCCTTTTATTAGTAGCATACTCCTCTTACT